TTTTTTTTTTTTTTTTTGTTTTTCTTGAATTTCTGAATATTACGAGGCCCTACCAGAGTTCTGCCTTAAAAACATCCACCAACCGCTAAATTTTCCAAACAGGGTTAGAGACCCTCCAGAGTGACACCTAGTTCTCGACTAAACCAACAAATTGGTTTTAGGAAGCGCAATTTAGAACAACAAAAATTTTCGAATATTTAGTCAACAAATACAAGTTCTAAAGGTTGAAGGTGCAGATTCAATAAATCAGCTCTGTCAGATGGCATTCTAACCGAATGAGGTGCGCCTGTGCAGTGGCTTTTTGCCAGCTTTATTGCAACCCGACCGCACCGTATTAAATCTTCGTCATGTTGCGCAACTCAACAAAAATTAACGGTGAAGACTATGCATTCTCATTACTGATTATTGCGGGAAAAAAGCGGGGTTGACGCAGAGATTCGCAGCACGATAGGTTAACATTGATTATGCTACTGGATCTCATATCCGCAATTACCTTCCTCAAACTGGTTTACCTCTACTTGGAACTGTCCAAGCGCTTCATTACAACTACTGGAAGCTACTGCATGAACTACAGGTTAAACTGCTTATCAAGCTGCCAAGTACTCTTCTAACTTCAATTCCAAAATTGAATGATCCGTGGTAAATGCTTCTAAAATACTAATGAACGAAAAATATAAGATCTCTCCTGGATAAGAAAGAAGACAAAAGCATTTCTCTAACGTCCCTGCTGTAGTCCAATATTAAAACTCAAGAGCGTGACAAAGAAGTAAGCCAGAAAGTACTTCATAACGATGTGACCTCCACACTCGCACATAACCTCGCTCTTCGCATTCAACTGTAATTAACTTATAAAAACCTAGCATGCCAAGAAAAAAAAAGCAACTAAAGATAGTGAGAAACGCAGTAACAAAAAAATCAACTGCCGTAAAATTGACAACACCAAAAAAAACTATTTCTCTACTGATCGAGGATGTGGAGCTCACCAAATCTTGCAGGGAAAAGATTTAAATGTTGAACTTTAATAAAAAAGAGAACTTATAAATCGACAAATGTTTGCTCCCCTTCTTTTGCATTATACACTGTGACAAACTGCTGAATGTCTCCTGACAACAACTATTTTTCTTTGAAAAAGAAACATTATAGTCAAGAATCTGTCCACATGTCACATCGAAGTTGGAAGAAAGCAAAAAGATCTATTTTAAACGGAAGAAAAGGCACCCAGTAATATGTTTTGCTTAAATGGTGCCAATCTGCCATAACCAAAAAAATGAACACTGTTTCAGTGATATCTTCACTTGATAAAAGCGAAATGTAAATAGAAATATGACGAGGTTCCGAGCGTGGAAGGCATCTGAAGAATACATTAATATACTAGAACGGAAAAGAAGCTCGTAATTCCTAAAAATTTTTCCTTTCATTTCGTTTGAAACTTTAAATAAGTTGACTGCACTACGCCATGTATTTAATAGCTAGATAAGTAATGCAAAAGGAATTATTCCGGAAAACGCGTATGAAACTGTTCTCGGCCTAATAAAACTTATACAGTGGTTATAATAAAGGTAAGGAGCTAAAAATAACCAACCGTTAAAGTGATTATGTTAATTAATAGAAACATTTAAATAAAAAAAGAAGAGAAATTATGTCATGCTAAGGCAAATCAGATACTCTGTCCCCAATTCAGATTAGCAGTTCTCAATTGAAACGATATGACAAAAAACATTTGCAATAACCAGTTAAAAAAATGACCGAGAAAAATGAAAAAATTATCTAAATGTAGTGAGTGAACTGTTCTGATCTCCCACACTTTTACTACAACTGTAAAAGCTTACCAATCAGAGCCAAACCAGCTGAACGGTTATGCTTAAGCGGAAGTTTTGCATCACTGCCAAAACCAAAAGGAGGTGGTGGTGGGGGAGGCTCTAGAGACGCAGAAAACCGAGGCACTATGTCAGGTGACGTGATCTAAACGACTTATATTGCCATGCGACATCTTACGACAACTTACAACAAAGGTAACAACACCAAGTTAGTGGCGTAAACACAAAAAATTAGCTAAATAGCAATGAAATTCTGGTTGGTCAATAGGGTTTTTACCTGATAATGAGGAAAAGCAGTTAACGTATTGGGCAAGGCAGACCCAAAGTGGCCAGGATTAAACAAGGAATCCATTTCATATAATTCGTTAATATGCAAACAGAACTGTTCCTGTAACGACAGGCCTGAAACCTAACTGGTGCGTAAATGAATACCTCGAGTGCAACACATTCGCTTCCACACTGAAAGGAGCCTAATTTAGAAGGCTATTTTCAATAAATAGGGCGCTTAAATCCAGCATTAATATGAAAGCGCGATTGAATGAAATACGTCATAGCTGCAGACTAGTCGTTCTAGTTGACTCCTTATCAAGTAAGACTAATTCAGCATAAAAAATGAAAGATAAATGAATGCACAGGAAGGCAGAACTGTTTCCAACTATGAAACCACTCCGACTTTCTCTTAAACGCATTTGGTAAAGAAAATAATTCAAATCACCATCAAATAGGAGAAATTGCACTTCAGCACAACGTAATCAAAAATAGATAGCTTGTAAAAAATGTTAAGGTGTATCGATTATCAAAAAAATTACTTATAAAGTATGAATCGCAAATCATAATCAAAATCAATCATGATAATGACCGTCTACCAAATATACTAATAAGGAAATTTCCACTGTCTGAAACACATACCACTAATCGTATTTTCATTTTACCAACAACCATTTACTACGAAAAAAACACTCGAAACTTCTACTACAATAAATTGCGAAGAAAGAAAAAATAGCCGACAAAGAAATCATTGCGGTCATTTAACACCGCAAAAAAGCAAAAGGAAGGAAAGATTTAATCTCCCGAAATCAGAGAAATGCAAACAGCTTCAGAGGCAACGAAACGAAACAAAAACATCATCACTGAAACAAGTCTCAACACTAACTGCATTTTTTCAAAGTTTCGTAGAAATCATGATTGAGACTTGGAATTTTAGCAACCTTACGGGGTTCAACAACACCCGTAGTAACTGACCGGACTTCACTGAACGAAACAGGTATCATTCGTTCACCGTGATCACCCATGCCACTAACAACACCTAATTGAGGTTCAGCAGTACTGAGCAAAAAGGACGTTTGATTATCACCAAATCCAATTACTCGTACAAGAATTATGTCACCGGGCCGAACGCATGCAGCTATTTCAGTCTAAACATAAATAAATAACGATTTTTTAAAAAAAGCTGACTGAAAAAAGTAGTAAGTGAAGAACCGCAACAAACCTTTTCTTTCCCAGTTTCCAAGATATCTTCTTTTCTTAAGATGCCCATGAACTGATGACTTAACACGGAATTATCCACACACAAGACAGAGCATTTCGCGTAACGCAACCCCAGATTCAAAACCTACAACGCAATAGCACTT